TTCATCACTCCCCCAAGCACCTGCCTGATGTGGCCATTTGCTCTCTATAATGGTAGACATTAAAGATAGGCCAATCAAACCTGTCCAATTGTTTTTCCAAGTTTGCGGGAAAAGATATTGGTTGGACAATTTCTCCAAATTTGTCCAGGAGTAACATTACTGAAAAAGCCTAATGGGAACTTTTCCACCATGATGGCTTCACTTAGGATTTACTGGAAGTGTTGGAAGAATAGAGGCTGATGTAAACAGATGGAAAGACAAGGGGAAAATGAAGGACAAAAGATGCAGAGCATCTCCTTGCTGAATAAGTGCAAAATTTTACTCTAACCATGAGAGTGTTTCCAAATTTATCTTCGCTCTCAAAACAATTTTGAATGCAAATTCCGTTTTATCAAATTGAATGACAGCTTGTGGAAATAAATGCAGGGAAATTTCTCTAGCCGGCATTAGTAGGAATGGCCTTCTCTGAGTTTTGAATCACTATTGCAAACACATAGTCTGTTTAAGCAAATGTTAGGCAGATTCCCAGTTAGTAAGTTGTCTTTTTCACTGCCTTGTAGATGATTTCAGTTTTCAGATTAATGAGGCTTGATACAACACAGTTCTTGGCAATTAAATTTCAGCACAATCAATAAACCAACTGCAGATGCTGGATTTCCAAAGTATAATCTAACTATATTACCTCTCCATTCCAAACCTCGATCCAAGCATAATTAGTGTACTATTGTTGTTTTTAAAACTCAGTCTATGGCTTATCCAATGATCTGCTATCTTTAAGTAATTAATCTAAGAACAAACTGAACACAGTGTGGAATATCCAAGATTATAGACCAGTTCAATCCGGAAAGTGGGGACTTAACCTTCTTTCATCACCAATTTCCTGACTCAAACCCAGCAGTGTCATTATTTATTTAGTGTCATTAGCTACTTTGAATTAGATACATTTTTTCTTCTTCTTCCATTGCCAGTAGAACCTTTAAGTCTGGGAAAAGGTGCAAGGAAATCCAGCTGTTTACTAAGCAGTTCCCTACTCCTTTGGCTGTTAGATGCCAAATTAGGAGCATGTAAAGCTGCCATTGGTCCATCTAAGCCTACATAGTCAATAATGGCTGGCAGCTGTTCTCCAAAGTTGGCGAGAAGTTTTTTTCCAGCTCTATTTGGAGATGCCACAAATTGAACATGGGATACTTTGTATGGAAATCACATATTCGGCCAATAAACTGTGGCCTACTTCTGTTTTAGGAAACTAAGGAAGTAATGAAAAGATCTTAATATCCACCTCTCTAGATTATTGTTCCACCTTTAATTCAGCCAGACTAGAATTCATATTCTTACTAACTCACTGGTTTTGCTGAATTCTGTCAAAAATGATTTATGCATGCATACACACATATAGTATATACTAATATATACTCAATGCATATTTTAACTCTATCTTGCTTTATGATGTGAAGCTTTCACAGGATCAAATAAGAAAGATATAGGAGACAAAACACTTGAATGGCTGACATTAACTGAGTATCTATCTATCTATCTATCTATCTATCTATCTATCTATCTATCTATCTATCATCCATCCATCCATCCATCCATCCATCCATCCATCCATCCCATCCATCCTCCCTCATAGGTATAACAGTGAGCACATAGAAAAGATTAGCACATCTCCTACATCCCCACTATTCAACCCTGAGCATCTGGTCTTGTTTCTCAGTGTGAGTGGCAGGGTTACTTGCTTACACAGGAACACATCAAAGGAAGAGAAAGCATGAAAAACATGCACCAACTATAAAATGTATATTAGCTGTTTCATTCATAATTCACTGCTGCTCCTATAAAGAGCAAAAACAAAATAAAAAACCCCACTAATTCCAGAATATCTTCTTTATTACTTCTTTGGAAGAGAGCAAACCAAAAAAGTGGCAAAACTAAACTTGCAATCTGAAATATACTTTACAGAACCCCGATGACTGAAGTGGGAGGCCCAGATGAATAGCAATAGGATTGCAATGCTAAAATGCATTCACATCTGAGGATTATATTGGTAGGAGTATCTGATAGACTACTGATGCTACTCATATAGCTATGTTCCTGATAAAGAAAAGAAAGGCTTTTGCCATGTGAATTCTGACCAATGGTTATCTTGCATTTATATCACACACTTTTACTGATGATGTGGAAAGAAAGCCTTGTGGTGTCCGGCCGAAGCTCTTCCTTCTCTTTGTTTTCTCCCCTGGAACTTAAGGCAGCCTGAAGAAGCTTGTACCACACCTGGTTTCCAGTTGTAAGAGGAAAATACTGGCAGCCCCTGAGCATGGGTGTGTAGGAGAAAGGTTTGTGTTGGGAGGGAGAGCAGAGAGAAAGAATTTGCAGTTGTTGGCATAACCTGCAGCTTAGCAAGTAACTGGTGATGAAGGAGGAGCAGGCCTGGACTTCAGCATGCCAACTACAGACAAGCTGAAAGGGGAAGCAGAGCCCAGAAGCCTGACCATCTAGCAAAGATGCTGGCAGCCTTCAGCCAGCCAGAAACCAGTAAAGCCCTCTTCTTTTACCACCCCAGCATGGACTGCAAAGCTAATGCCTCAGTAGCAGTTCAGAGCAGCAGCTGGCTGCAGCAGAAGCCAACTTGAAGGTGGCTAAAGATTTGTTATAAGCTCAGGCAACAAAGAACAGAATTGTTTATGGGGGAATTAGATAAACCCATAGACCTAGACATTAGTATAAGAATAGTACTGTATAATGTAGCATACGTTTAGGGATAAGTGTCAAATTAGAGATTAGGAAATAAGTGTGCTAAACTTTTTTATATAATAAAAGCCTCCCTAGAAACACAGGAAGGACAACAGTCTCTTTGCTGGCGGTCTGTACAGTTTCCCAAAAGATCCACCACATACCTAAATCTTGCTGAGCCCTTGGGACTTATTCTTTCTGCCTCCTCTCCCACGGACTTCCAGGTATGTATGGAAGAGAATAAGACAGCTTGTTCTCTGGCATTAGGATATCAGCTATCATTTCTGCTGGAAAGAGACGAACAGCCTGCGGATGGCTGTTTCCTTATGGTTTCTGTCAGGATGATTATTTATTTATAACACCTGTTAGCCACTGTTCTTGCCACAATGGTCCCAAAGCACAAGTACAATATATTTAAAATTGTTTAACTCCATCATCTGTAAATGATGCAATTACGGTAATGGGAAATGCTTGCTTAGAAAGTCTGTGATAGGAATGCTGACACAGGGAAGTTGGACTGCCACCTATTGCAATCCTGTTAGAGTGAATCAACAGTTTCATTCACACTTCTTGCTAAAACAGTAGTTTAACTACAATTTGCTGATTCAGTCACAAGGCAACACACAACATACTAATTCATAAACTGGGTTCACAAAATATGCTATGTCAAAGCACATTTTTCCATGGATGATGGGTGACCTAATGTATGTCACTGTTATAATCATAACAGTCCTTTTATGTCAGGCATACCAAGAAATGTGCACTTCTTAAGCACTATAGGGCATCATGATAAAGTCAAGGTATTACATTTTTAAAATATCATTGAAATGAATGGAAATATGCCTATGTTATCTGGTTTTAGTAAAATTAGATTTTCAAATTCCAGCTGATTAATCATTAAGGAGTGCTTTAGAGGACTTATCCTCCCAAAGAAATGAATAGTCATTGTGTTGAAATGTCCCAAAAATATTGAATTGAAATAGGAAGTTAAATAACATTCTCAGAATAGCATATGATTCACTAAATAACTTGTACTGATAATAGTAGCACATAGCAGAGAGGGTATGCTGTGGACCCCATCAATGAAAGAACATCGACTGGCAGGGTCCAGAAGGAGACCTTCTCTGCTGTGGCCCCTGCCCTATGGAATACCCTCCCCCCCCCCCCAGAGGTGAGGCAGGCCCCTACTCTCTTGACCTGCTGGAAAGCAGTTAAGACCTGGCTTTGCATGGGGCGAGAAAAGGGGCAACCAACCCTGGGGGTGGCTAGCACCTTGAAGATGCTCCTGTAGGTTAATACCTTTTCTACCAGCAGCACCTTGGAAGATCTTATGTATGTATGTATGTATGTATGTATGTATGTATGTATGTATGTATTTGGTTCTATTGTATTTTATACTATTTTTACTATTTTAATATTTATTTGTTGTTTTTATTGTAAACCACTTCTTTGTGAGATGGGAAGTGTCCAAATGTGATATATATATAAATTAAACAAACAGACAAACAAACAAATAAAGTCTGCAATGGAAACAATGGTTCATTATGGCAACTGCAATGTGGCATGTTTATGTAAGATGATGAAATCTATTTTTAATGCAAATATGCTAATTCTGACTTTTCTTACGAATGGCAATTTGGTTTGATAAGTTTGTAGTAGGGATTATTTTGCTTCTTTGAAAACACAACTGAGTGTTCCCATAATCAATCTGTTACAATCTCAAAGAATCAAGAATTCAGTGCACGAACTTGTCACAATCTTGTGGTCATAGCAACTATAATACATCATTTAAGGGATGCCAATGAGGTTTGTGGGCTGGAAGGAAATAGGTTTTTGGTACTGAAGGATGTGTTCAAATATAGAAAGTTATACTTTTTGTCTTGAAAAACAAAGGAAGGGTAGAATACTTTATCCATTCCCTCTTTCTCGCTCTCTCTGTTGCTTATGGAAACTTTAGTTAACCTTTGCATTTCTATTCTAAAAGTAATTTACATTATCCCAAGAATTTAGTGCTTATCTCCTTCAAATCAATACAAAATCAAGTGGCATAATTGTAGGACATTTTAAAAAATCAACACCCCTAAAAGGATTGAACTACATGTGAGTTTGTAGCAGCGGCTAATACATTTCCTGCCCTTCAGAGACAAGAAGCATAACTGTAACCTTGTTAATTGAGTAGAATATATTGCATGCAGTTATGGCTCATTGCGTTAAATGCCAAGCAATAGTCTTTGGCACTAAACATGTTGTTCATTGATGTTCATTTCTAGCTCATCCAGACAATCAGTGCAGTGGATAAAGATGACCCCATGGAAAGCCATCATTTTTCATTCTATTTGATGGAAGAGGGCAAAAACAGTTCCAGTTTTGAACTTGAAGATAATGAAAGTAGGTATTAGACATGGTTTTGAGATATCTGAAAGGAAGTATATTCACTTTTCCTTTTTAGTTATTAGACCAGCAATAGACAAACTTTTGTATCAAAGGAGGGTTGCATTTACTTTGAAAAATTGCCTCCACAGATCTAGTCATCTCTTTTGAGAGAATTGGGGGGGCTAAGATAAAATAAGTGCATTAAGTCAAGTAGAGGCTAAACAGTGGGCTGAATGCCACATGTGGCTCATAGATTGTCCACATCATAATAAATTTTCACTACCTATATATAATTATCCAGAGGCTAGAAGGTCATCAGAAGTGCTATGCACTTACAAACTGACTTGGGTTATTGGAAAAGCTTTGGGTGGAAAATGCGGTGAAGTGTGATTGATAGTTAAAACAGACAACCACAGAAGGAAAAGAAATGATCCAGGAAAGAATTAGAGGTGACAACAGAAAGTACCAGATCCCCCCAATATTTTTCCTCTGGTTTGTTATAACCAGCATCCCATCTTCTATTGCCCAAATTTATTTCTGCTATTTTCTCTAAGCTCTAGGTCATCTCTACTATAAAGTCATAAACTCTGCTCAGTTTTGTTATCCATTGCTTTAAAGTACAAGGCTGTAATCCCCTGAGGAATTCCTGGCTAAGAAATGTTATCTGTTCTCTCCTTTTTTTTTCTTTTTTTTTAAACAGAGGCCAAGCCTTTGTGACTGGGTCATACATGACTTAAGATACTGGTCAAGCTGGGTACACGATCTCTGGCTTTCTAAAGAGGATTTATTATTAGTGCCTATTCTTTTAATAGGCAAGGGTGCAGGCAGGTCAGTAACAGTAGGTTTAGAGCATACAGGTTTCCTACAATGCATAAAGAAGCTTACGTTATCCATGACCTGAAGTAGTAACCACTAGTATAAATAACTTTACCTGGCCTGAAGCCAACTATACCCCAAATTTCATTTTCTGTGGTCATCTGTACTTTCCTGTACTAGACACAATCCTTTTATTCATTCTTGTTTTTTCAATTTTTCTGTCCTTTGGCATTATCATTTTTTTTCCCTGCTTGCTCTTTCTTTTCCTGTTATTAATTCTTGAGAGATAACTTTCCCCCAGGGTTAGGGAATGCTTTCTAAATAAGGAATTTTGGCTATTGGTGCATCAGACTACTGATTTGCAACATATGAAGACTATTCTCATAATCTTTCACATGTTGTATATGAAGAGCTGGCAGAAAAGACAATTCTTATTACTATTTTATTATCATTGGTCACACAGTCAGCCAGTTGTTGTTGTTGTTATTATTATTATTATTATTAAATATATACTTTATAAAATAACCTATTAACCTATTTAGCTATAACAGTTCTATAGAACCTGGTATATCAAGTATAAAAGACAAACAGTTGTGGTCTGTTACATTTATACTCTTTTTATAGAAAAAAGTCTATAAAAGGATGACTGAAAAATAGGATGCTGGACTTGGTAGTATTGCTAATAAGGTATTAAGATATTATACTTGGCATCATTGAAAAGTATCATTGATGAGATTCTTATTTTAAGAGCTGTTTTACAAATCTGTACTTGGGATTCCTTTTTTAAAAAAAAATGCATAGAAACCTATTTGATCTGTTCATATTTGCTTTCTAAGTATGGCAGATTTTAGAAGTAAAGACCTTCCCATTATCTGTTAAAGCTGCCAAGTGCTGGGTGGTATTAGAAAAGCAAAGAGTTTGGATTTAAAATGAAGCAAAGATTTAATATTAGTAAATGCTTATGTTTTTTATTTGCTAAAATGAACTTAAGGAGAAAGGAAGAATTCATAATTATGTAACTTAGTTTTTAGTTCCTTGTTACTGATGTCATCATGTGGATGACTTTTCTGTGCTGCAGTGTTATGCAGCACTTGTATTGATCCCAAAAGCTGGGAAAGAATCATATAGGTGACACCAATCGAAAGTAATCTGAAGTGAAAACCTAACTTCAACAGCTGATGAAATTGAAGGAAAGAAGACCACTTAAAGGTAGCCTTCAGAGACTTAGAAGAAGAGCTATTTCAAATTCAGCTAAAGTATGCATTGCTCATATTGACTTTGCTAATTATATGAATGTTCTGGCTAGTTGAATAAACCAATAAAGCTAACTTTTGGAAAGCTCACTATGGTATGAATAAGATGTTACTTGTTCACTTTTTGAACTTGGTTAACATGTCCCATAAAAAATAAAGTGTTCTCAATCCTACACCCGCCCTATTTGTATATAATTTACTAAAGGACTACTGATACTACATGGGTGAAATGTGTATTTTGTAATCTGTACTTTGTGACTGATTTGGGCTTTTAGTTACTGTGCAGCTCAAGACTAAGCACATTGCTAAGTCCTCTAGATTCAGTGCTTAGGGTTCCATTATTAGTTGTGCTGACAATGATAGCAGCCTACATAAGGCATTTCATTACCTGCAGCCTATGGACATGCCCATCATTCACTTCATAGTGATGCAGCAATAATATGATTTATCAAAGCAATTCATGTTGTTTTTGGGCCTCCTCCATCATGTCTAGAAGCCAAAGGAGGTAGACAGAGTAATGGAAAGGGAAGCAACATGGCAGGTTCACTTTGTTCTTTAGAAGCAGGAGACAGCTTTGAAGGGGTACTTTGCTCAAAGTACTGTTTTTGAAAGTTTGCACAGCCTTATTAATGTTATAGTTATATAGATATTTTATAATATGAGTTACCTCAGCTACTCATAAATAAATATAACATTCAAGTGCAGTTTAAAGCATTTTCAAAACATATATTTTTTTAAAAAAATAATAAAACACAAAATTTTAAGCACAGTCTCAGGCTAAACAAAGATACCATCTGTTAAAAATATCTGTATGAAATTCTATATATTCATCAAAAACAACATAAAGATGGTGTCAGGAATTGTGGAAAGTGATGCAATAAGACTTCCAGGGAAGAAATGGCAGACTGAAGATGGCTCCACATTTTGTGGAGGTGATGATTCAGCTAAGAACAAGGAGCCAACAAGTAGACTGGCTCCTTTGTCCCTCTCTGGAGAAAGAGAAGACATGAGATTGCCCACATTGCACTCTGTATGGCTGCTCCTCATGAGGAGACTACAAGGAATGGTCTCTGGAGGGTGGAAGAACCAGGGAATTTGCCATTCTTGCTCCACCCACTGTTGGAGCCTTCAAAGGACACTAAGTTCACACTTCCTTTGCTAACCACCTTTGGAAATTGCCAATATGTAATTGTTTTAAAGAACTTAGACACCTTCAAAATGACAAGGCTGGAAACACTGGGTAAGTGCCTTCAATCCCTAATGTAAGACAATAAAACTTTATTTTTATAAGCTTTAAGAATTCAAAACAAACAGCAAAAAGCAAGGCAAGGTTTTGTCTATAGAAAGTTTTAAACAGATTAAGGGCTCAGAAAAAGTTGGAATATTTGATTTTGAATGGTAAGACTTCAAAATTAATTTTAAAGAATAAATGCATTTTTGTGGAAAAGAAAACTTATTTTTGATATTGGAGACATAACAAGATAAACAACTTATAATGGCATTCAGATATATTAATGAGGAATGGCAACAGGACTTTGAATCAACAATGTCTGCTTTGTTGTGTATTGTTATGAACTCCCTGTTCCCAGAAGAAGCTGTTACACCAGAAGATGCTGTTACAGAAAAAGATTTCCAACAAAACTTATCTGACATGATTATGGAGAACAACATGAACAAGAATTTATCACTATATATATAAAAAAATTGGATAAGGCTCTAAAAATTAAGAAGGAAATAAAAATGCCAATTCAGGAGAAGAACTGGAATAATTTCTTCCTGCTGGACTTACAAAAGAGGCTTTTTAAAGTATTGAAGAAATTTGAGACAAGAGATTGTTTTATGTAAAAAGAAGGAATATAAAGTTGGCTTATTTGATCAGGGTTAAAATGGGATATGTTGTTATTTTGGGGAGTTCTTTCTGGACCTGCTGACATCTGGACTGGAAAAGACATTGTGTATTGGATTTGCTTAAAATTAAGAGTTGAAATATGGAATGATGAGTTTTATATGAATTTTTATATGAGTTTTGTTAATGGATATGATTACTTTAGGGCTCTGCTTGGACTTTTTGGTGACATCTAGATCGGAAAAGACATTGTTTATTGGACTTGCCTATAGTTAAGAGTTGAGTTATGGGATGAAGAGTTTTATAACTGTTAACTAAGAGGAGGTGAAGAGATAGTGAAGCTGTTTATATTCATTGTGGTGAGGGTGGGAAGTCACTTTCTTAGGTCTCCTCTCCTCTCCTCTCCTCTCCTCTCCTCT